CCTGCCTACCCCAATTCCTGCCCCTGACTCACCCATGACCGCCCTGTAGACGCTGTGATGACTCCCGAGCTCTCACACTTCGGACACCGTCCCTCCCCCCTCGCGGAAGGTGATGCACTCGTTCGACCGTCAACTTCCTCCAACCCATCTTCCACTACCTGTGCATACCCTCCCATTTGGCGTCTCACTTCTTCTCTTCCCACACGGAACCGGATCTGAAGGACGCAGTGGCGAGGGTTTTGCCTATGAACTTGAGCCACTGTTAAAGGGTACTTAATAGAGTCGCAGAATACTAAAGGGGGTTTTCTTCCTACGATACAATTACTGGCTTTTATATATTACCCGTATCTGTTACTGCTTCCTGCTTATGTCTCTGATGTTGAATCCGCGACGGATCTCCAAATGTTAGGCGAATGAAAGTGTTGTCCCAGCGATCGAGTCGTTTTCTTCTCAATTACTGGCTTTTAGTAATACTATATAACAAAAAACCTACTCGTTGTGATAGGTAGGCGGATAGATAGCTGGGGGAGAGGAGAAAGATAAAGATGAGTACCATTTGGAAAGTTTGATTCGGTGAAAAAATCCTCCATTTACTGTGAATATAAATGAATGCCCCTAAAAGATAAAACTGAAAGGTCGCAACCGATATAAAATAGCCGAAAGAGGCAACTGTCGTCATGCCAAGCAAACGTTGATGAATGAGTCGCAAAATGTATGCTTGCGTTTAGTTCCTTCAAAAAAGGGTGCAGATGCGTGAAACGAATCTAATCTCGGCAGCACGGTAAGTCTCGTTAACCAAAAAATCTTGCTCTTTTTCTTGGGTGTTTGAGTCAGGGTTCTATAGTGCTCATGTCGCGGAAAGCCAACATTTCTTTCCAACTTTCTTGTTCAATGCCCGCTGCTTCAACTTCATGCAACTTTGCAGGCAGCTGTTTCGGACTCGCTGACCTGCAGACCCATGACCGACTTCCATTCGCGCATACACGCGCCTCCATATAGTCGCAGATGCCTAAAGGCCACTTGAACACGTTGACCTGCAGTGGATCGTTGCCCGCACGATGCCTGGCCTTCCTGTCGTGACCTCAATCTGTCTAGACCTCAAGGTCGT